ATGATAAGAAAATCATGCATGTCGTGGGTTGTAAGGGGACTGAAAGAACACTACCACCACCAAAGGAGATGGTTGAAGGAGAAGCACCATACAGAAGAGCTATTGTACTTGAAAGAAAATCCCAAAGAATCCTCGTAGAAAACCAATGGGAGGAATGGGAACTTTTGGCACAGAGAAAACTTGTACGTAGCTTGATACCCAGCTCAGTGAATATAACAGTGTTCGCCTGCAATCATCCAAGTGCACCCACAAGCATGCCCGAGAGTGTAATTCAGATGCCTGCAGAACCACAATCCCAAGTCCCGGATGGGCAAATGCACGAGCTTGGTCCTGCAGCGACGGTCAACCCTGATGCCATGGCCCATCAGGAACCAGCCATGAGTGAGACCAACCACAGGTCAAGCATGCCTACTGAGACACAACCGAAGCCTGAGATTCCAGAAACCTTGCCAACAAGTACTCACGATCGAAATGTTGTGATTGACTCCCAATCCCAACAACATGGCTCACGGTTTTTGTCATTGCCAGCACATGAGAAACAACACCTCCTTCGAGTTCACAAGAATCTTGGGCATCCCTCTCATCAAGTGCTGTCACAGGTTCTTCGACGACAAGGGTATCCCAGCCATCTCACACAAGCCTTGGAAGATATGAAGTGTTCGGTTTGTATTCAACATCAACATCCAAAAATACAACGACCGGCCACAATCAAGGCAGAGCTGGATTTTGGCGATAAGGTCTCAGTTGACGGAGTCTCATGGACAAACAAAACAGGAACCAACTTTCATTTTTACCATTTCCTCGATCACGGAACAAATTACCACACTGCTACAATAGCACCAAATCGTACCACTGAAAAAGCCATTGAAAAGCTAACAGTCGGATGGCTCACATGGGCTGGTCCACCAAATGAGATGATGGCCGACTCAGCAACTGAGTTCAATTGTGAACAGTTCGCGAGTTTCATGCAGCAACTGAATGTGAAGTGTACAATCATCCCGCCAGGAGCTCATTGGCAGATGGGAAGAACTGAGAGACATGGGGATGTCCTCCAGAAAATGCTCAGCAAATATGAAGAAGATCACCCAATCAACTCATATGCCGATTTGCAAAGGGCTTTAATGATGTGCACTGCGGCGAAAAATGCATGTAGCCTCAGACACGGGTTTTCTCCAGAAACACTGGTTTTCGGAAAGGGTTTGAAGGTTCCAGGTTCCCTAACTAGTGATGATAGCCTCCCAGCTCACAGCCTAGCAAATGAGGAAAATGCTCAGGGAATCCAGTTCCGAGCCCAGCTAGCAATGAGAGAAAGTGCCCGGAGAGCCTTCCATGACGCTGACAACAGCGCTGCACTTCGTAGGGCTGCACTGCGAAGAGAACGTCCAGATCGGGGATCATACGAACCAGGTGAATGGATCATGTACTGGAAGTCATCTGAAACATCCAAAGCTTGGCATGGGCCGGCAAAGGTGATTCAACAGGATGGCAGACACTCCATTTTCTGTTTGCACATGGGAACCATGGTTCGTGTTGCCCCGGAACACGTCCGACCAGTCAGTGCAATAGAGGCACAGCAGATTTCCGAACAGGCTCCACCGACTCAGGAACAACAGAGCCACATGCAAAGGCTCATCACACAGGCCACTCAAGAAATCACCATTCCCCAAAATGAAACCAGACAGAATGCCACTCGACCACCTGTAAATGCCAATAATAACCCCCATGAACGTAGCCAGAACCCTATAATTAACACTGATAATGTTCCTGAACCAGAAATTCCTCAGAATGAACCAACTAACACCACACCACAGAGTGACTCAAGCATTCAGCCGGATCAGGAACCTGAGATGGAACATCCAATGGTAGCACCCGCAGATTTCGAAATGCAACAAGCGATCGAAACACCAGTTCCTGATGCCGATGACGAACTGGTATGTGATCTGCTGCTGAGTGAAGACATTGAGCCTCCATATGTACAAAGGACTGAGGTCCCTCTGGCATGGCGTGTTGAGTTCCAAGTTCCTCAAGAGTTTGAAGACGGCCATCCAATTCCAGTTGAAGATATCATCATGTTGGCCACAAATCAGAAAAAGTCAAGAACCGAAGTCAGACTCAGTGAACTCACCAGTGAGGAACGAGCAGAATTCGAACGTGCCAAATCCACCGAGGTCAACAATTGGCTTCAGACCGGTACAGTGTGCAAGGTGCTGCGAAATAGCCTCTCACCAGAGCAGATCCTTAGGTGCCGCTGGATCCACGTATGGAAACCCATTGAAGACCCAGCCGAACAAAAGCGCCTTGGTAAGAAACGCAAGGCAAAATCCAGGCTGGTGGTCCTTGGGTACCTAGATCCCGAACTGGAAACCATACCTAGGGATAGTCCTACTCTTAATAGACAATCTAGGATGCTCATTTTGCAGACCATCGCATCACTTCAATGGAAATTGATGTCATTCGATATCAAGGCAGCGTTTCTCCAAGGAAAAACACAGGAAAACAGGGTCATAGGGCTTGAACCCGTACCAGAGCTTGTCAAGGCCATGGGACTTCAACAGAATGAGGTGTGCAGATTGGAAAAGTCAGCTTATGGGCTTATCGACGCACCATATTTATGGTACAAAGAACTAGATAAGACCCTCCGAGAGCTTTCCTTCCGACCATCTCCATTTGACCCATGTGTTTATTTGCTATACAAACCTGGTGCTTCAAGACCCTCAGGGATCCTAGGCATGCATGTGGACGATGGGCTATGCGGGGGTGACCAGTTTTTCGAAGAACAAATCAGCAAGCTGGAGTCAAAGTTTCCTTTTGGAGCCAAAAAGTCCCAATCATTCACTTTCACTGGTATTGAGATGCAACAATTACCTAATCACAACATTATCCTTTCACAAGAAAAATACATTACCAAAATTGAACCGATACACATTGAACCCAAAAGGAGAGCTCAAGAGGACTTGCCAGTGACAGAAGCCGAGAAACTCAGCCTCCGAGCCATCATCGGCTCCTTGCAGTATGCCGCTGTGAACACCCGTCCGGATCTTGCCAGCAGATTGAGCCATTTACAGAGTGCTATTAATTCAGCAAAAGTCTCAACACTCACCGAAGCCAACAAGATACTACATGAAGCAAAAAGACATAAAGACACGACGATAAAAATCCAATCCATTCCTTTTGATCAATTACGTTTCATTGCATTCTCTGATGCCTCATTCTCATCAGCAAAACAACCGGACTCACACACAGGCATGATGATCATGGCGACACATGCTGACATAGCCAAGAATTTTCAATGCCCAGTGAGCCCAATCAGCTGGTGCTGCAAAAAGATCCAAAAGGTTGTAGTAAGTACCCTATCCGCGGAGACTATGTCAATGAATTCCACTCTTGATCAGCTATCATGGATTAGACTGTTTTGGGGTTGGATTCAAAACCCTCAGATTCAATGGAAACGAGCCAAAGAAACACTCAATGAACTTCCACCAACGTATACAGCTCCAACCATCAAAGACCCACCAGACCTAGCCATCACGGATTGCAAATCCCTCTACGACATCATTACCCGCACAGCACCTCCTAATTGCCAAGAGTATCGCACACAATTGCAATGTCGTGCAATGAAAGACCTGTTAAGTGAAGGAGTTTCAGTACGTTGGGTACACACAGGTGCACAGGTTGCTGACGCATTAACAAAAGTGATGAATACCGCCTTCCTGAGACACACGCTATCCCAAGGAACGTATCGTCTAAACGACGAACAAGAGATCCTGCGCGAAAGGGCAAATTCCCGCAGTCGAGTCCAGTGGCTCCAACAAAATTCTCTTGAACAAAAGAACTAAATATTGAAGTTTTGGGAGTGTGAATGTTCAAGTATTCCCTTAGTTCCCATTCAGGTCCCATAGTCTCCAAGGGTTCACCAGCAGGTACCAACCATGTCATGTGCAGTCCTTTCGGCTGTGGTCAGCCTTGGGTGGAGCAGGGTGGGCTTGGACTTTTGCCATAGCGCGTCGTGGCCGACGAAACATAGAGATTTGGATTGGAACATCAGTTGTTCCTGGGCGAGGCTTGTGGTGCAAAAGGAATCTATCGGGCGCGGCAGCCTTCAGGTGAGTTTGGGAAACATCACTGCAGATACCGCTACCCATTGTGGGGTCACTCACAATATATATATATATATATATATATATATATACCCTCTTGTTATTTAACATAGCCATGGAAAATGGCCCATTTATAGATGGTTTACCTATTAAAAATTGTGATTTTCCATGGCTATGTTAAATAACCAGATGGTATATATAACGTAAAGAACTGCTCCCAGTCACCTCCGATTTGTCTCTGGGTGTGGCTTGGAAATGGTTCACCCAGGTCACAACGGATAGTCCACTTGGGTGAAAGCAATCTGCGCCCCATATTTTGCACATCAAATGGGTTTGTCTTAAAATAGGGGTACACCGAAATTCATGGCAATTCTTCATGCAGTTCATGAGAATCTTTCTGACTTGGGGGGTTGTCCAGACAAAAGTCACCAAACCTCGAAGTCCAAAAGATTATCTCACGATAAGTCCATGAAAATCCATGATAGCTAATGATAATCCATGAAATTCCTTGGAGATCTTCAAAGATTTCAGCCAAACCAAGTGACCACTCCGAGCAACAGCAGCAGCATCATCGTCATCATCGTCATCATCGTCGTCATCGTCATCATCGTCATCGTCATCATCAACAGGTAGGACGAAATTTTGGGGAAATCGTTGAAAATGGGGAAGTGTACCTGAAAATGGGAAAGTGATCAACCAAATGGCAATGTGTTTCTTGAAATTTTGCATAATAAACCGTGAAACTTGGGAGTTCCCCGGGTTCCCCAAAATTCTCAGACAAACCCATATCTACTGGTTTTTAGGATGGCTTCAACATCGGCCATCTTAGCATGAATGTGGACTTGCACAGACAATGCCGTATGTCACAGCCGTTTTTTTGCCGTTTTGGTGGCACCGTGGTGCCTTAGTTGGTTGTAGTCGATGAGAGTTCGATTCGTGGCCACTGTCTTGGCATCGCAGGTCGCTGCAGTGTGGCCAACAAAGCGGAATCCAAAATGAAAAGATCCAAGGCATTCCACCAGGGTGTTGATTGGGGAGTATGGAAAAAATATGAATGGGGGAAGGGATTTTCCTGGAAAACTAATGGATAATCAATGGGTAATTATGGGCTTCATTTTTAAGCTGAGTTGCTAGATACGAAACATATGATACATACATGACAGGTCATAGTGCATATTCGAAATGATATAAATATGATAAACGATAAATGTATGCATATATATATATATATATATATATATTTGCATTTGTATGTATATATATATATATGTCTTATATTTATATATATATATACAGTATATATATATGTGTGTCTTCTGATATATATATATATGTCATAAACATGGACAAATTGTAAGAATCCACTAACCTGAAAAGTTCGGCTATTTTGGAAGCGGTACAAGATATTTGGTTCGGCACCATTCGACTGCTGAAATGGAAAATAAACCTATAATTAGTGCACGAGTATAATGAATAATTGATAGCTGGAATAGTTTCCCAAACTGGGCGTACCCTAAACCAGTGGCTTCAATACTACACATATCAAGGAGAAGCAGTGATTTCCGGGTCGCAGTGAGGGATTTCCGCATTCAAGGTTTGGCACCAAGCAAGATGGCTGCGAGCAATCGCTTGGTTCGTGTAGATGACTAAAAGCAGCCATAATCAAAGTGAAAAATGATCCGGGTACCCTCTGCTGGTCCAACATAGCTGTGGAAAACGGACATGTTTAATAGGTAAATCATCTACACATGATTAATTTTCCATGGCTATCTGGCTATCTTAAGTTACCAGTGGGTATGGGACAAGATGATTGACCACCAAACGGATAGTGGAGATGCGAGAAAACAATCCATAGAACTGTTGGACGATGTGTCTTGCTGCTGGGGTGTGTCCTAGAAATCCTGCAGATTGGCTTCCCGCCCCGATTCGCGACAGGCAATTCCTGTGGACTTGCACTTCCAAGTGACGCCCAGTGTTGCATTGTAATACTTCCGCAAGTATGCGTCATAGCTGGTATCATCACCTTCCAGTCGGGTAGGTCATAGAATATGTGGTGAGGCTACAATTTCTCTGACACCAAAGTTGAAGATCTTCTAGTGATGTCCCAGAAAGGACTAAACTCCACATCACCAAGTTGTGCTTCAAATAGGGCAGCTAGCCCCAGACTTACGCCGCCGTGGCACAGCCAGTGAGATAAGGGTCTCCCAACCAGGAGGACGGCTGAAAGATGATGGTTTTCGCGCTATCAGAGGTGCCACCCGTGTAGCTGAAGTCCTGGCACGCTCGTCCCACGCTCGGTTTTGTCAAAGACACGGGTGCTGAAAAGCCCAACTGGTTGGTGGTGCAATAACCATCTTGAAAATATGAAAGTCGATGGGAAGGATTATCCCATACATTGTGGAAAATAAAAATGTTCCAAACCACCAACTAGCCAAGTTTTTTTTGGGACAGGCACTCACTTGCGCACTGGAAATTTCACTCACTTGCGCACTGGGTGACATAAAAATGACATAAATTTCACTCACTTGCGCGCTGACACAGCTAACAATCAGCCAACTCCCGGGGAAATTACACTCATAGTTCTCATATTGCGCTCATATTCATCAACACGCCTCTGGGGTGGGGTGGGGTGGGTGGTGGGGTGGGGTGGGGTGGGATTTCACACATGCGCACCAGAATGGGGACGTTCGCTGATACGTGCGACAATCCCCCGCTTTCACTCCCACTCCTTCCTCACATGCAAAGTAGCGCACCTGCCACGCAATATTGATCTGTATTACTTCATGTCTTAGCCCAAAGCAAATTCAGTGCACAAGCGGCGAGGGAAAAATCTAGTGCACAAGCGAGGGCTCTCCCGAGTATATAGCCCTGCGTATCCTACTTATAAGTGGGGTTGCAATCCATTTACTAACTTGGGCGAACGACTAAGTAATAGTGATGTTCATCGCATTCTCACGCAAATCGTGAGCATCAACAGAATGGAGAACACCAATGTCATGCGCAAGCAATATGGCTCTATCTGAAAATGGGGTACGAGTACCCTATTCCATCCACTGTTCGTTGTTTGTATCATGTGCCCCCTATCGAGTTGCATGTTCTAGGTATAACTCCATTTTCAGACACCTAAAAATCACACTCTCAGCAACTGAATGCCCATATTCTCCCCAATATCAGCATCATATCTCCAACATTACCATAATATAGGAATATTGATGTGTATACATATATATATACCCATAGAGCAATTGTATATATATATATATATATTCATCAGTTTTAAGACACACCGACGCATTGAGATCGTCGAGGCCCGGATTCCTGGTAGCCTCCGCAGAGGGCCAAAGAAGCGGCATTGATGCTGGTGTAGAATGGCCTCAAGGCTTCCCCTGTGTGGTGGGCCTTGGGGCCTTGGTTGAGCCTGGTCTTTTTCCTGCAGATCATCCGGGTCCAAGGCGACCCCGAAAATACAAAGTTTCGGCTTTCATGGTTTTTCATGGTGAATGTCCCATTTTTAGATGGTTATTTGATGGTATATCCCATGTTCAGACCAAAGCATAAGATATTTTCTGATGACACCAAGCAGATTCGTCTGACTTCGTCAGGGTTCCCCCTTGACTCAGGCCACAAGTTGCTGCCCATTGTGAGACCAAGCCGTAGGAGACCATTTTGACAAAAGACCTGGGACTAATCAGCTAATCAGCTAATCCATCTCACAATGGTGCCGCACTCGCCGGCTAGTGGCCTAGTGGCCTAGTGGCCTAGTGCCCTACGCCCGAGATTTTTTGGGGGCAACCGGCGGCAACCGCTTCCAAGGAACATGAGGAAGTATATCACTGAAAATACGATCAGGCCTCACGAGTTCACTTCCAAAGATGAAATGCCCCGGAGCCCAAAATGAATTGATCCAATATTAAGCCAGGATTTCTAGAGCATTTCGTAGGGGGAACGGATAAATCTTGTTTTAAGTTTGGTAGCCATTTGATCTGTTTCGGAGATCTCTTCTGGATTGGTTCTACTGGCTCGTGGTCCTAGTTTTCACCACAGATGGCTTGAAAAGTATTCCCCCATGAAGCTAGCCTAATCCTACATAGCCTTCATACATATATTTAAATCTCATGTAGCATGGACAGTGCTGCGGGAGGCACTCGAGTGTTCTGGAATTGAAGTGGAAATCTGAAGGAAATGTTGATATTTACTGTAAGGTGGTGCCGCCCAGTCATGCGGTTACCTTTGTGAAATAAACCAACTGTGCTATCTTGGTGCACCATGTTTACTGGTAAACCATGGTAAACCCTGTTTTGTCAAAAAAAACAACCAATGGCCTCAGAAGCCCAGAGTGTGCCATGTTGAGGAATCATTCAGAAACCCTGTCGACCCACTGGTAATTTCACAGTTGGCGAAGTGGAACATCACCAGGGAAATCACAGGGAAGTCATTTGTCACGAATGGGCAATGGTTTCCACTTTGCAAACTGTAAATTGCCGGCCTAAATCCCCAGCCCTGGCCCAGCAGGGCCTACAGTGATGATATAGCGAATGACATCCTGGCAACTTGACAAATTCTCAGCCATGAGGAAATCGGAGGGTACAGCCGGAGGGTTAGAAAATCATAGACTATAATTGTTCCATAATAGACATCATCCAGCTTCCTTCGCCTGGTTCTTGTTCCTTTCCACATGACATCCGATGTAGATGTTTTTTGGCAACAAAGTTCCAGTTTTGCCGAGTGTTCCTGTCAGCCTGTCAAGTGATTCTAAAACTGGAGAGTTTTCCTGCCCAATTATGGCATAGTTTCTAGGGGAAATGATGACGGCAATGACTGAATTTTCTGGTACTTTACTCTCACATGGCTGCTCAATTCCCTGTTATCCTGGTAGCTTCCCCTGACCCGGGTCTCGGGTCCTTCATTGGGATGCATCTCACATCTTTCTTCATGATCTTTCCTTGGTTTCTGGTTACAAAAACTAAAAACCGTCTGGTCATGGATCAAGAGGCTATCAGGAAAAACAACATCTGAACAGCAACAAATCCTCATATATGTGGTCTTTCAATTACACGATGTTTGTTGATTAAATCGCTATGCGTCCAAAAATATTATATATATACATATAAACCTTAGGAATCCAAGATAAGAAATTCCCCATGAAACTTGTGAATTATTGGTTGTTGGAAAATACACACTATCATCATGAGTTCTCTGCAAACAGGATGCCCCAAATTTTCATGGTTGATCAGAATTGTCCCTGTAAAAAGTGCCATGTTGGAGGTCATTATTGGCATATCACCATGATGTATATGCATACATATGTACACAAGATTATCTCCAATATTAGTATCATACTCCTATTTGAATGGCCATAAATTGGGTGGTAAGTCTGCCGCGCTGCCTCTTTCAAGTACCACACCGAAAAAACATATACAAATTGTTGGTTTATATTCCATTACAGTATATATATCCCCATATATAATACTATATACATCTATATATATATATATATTAAAATGTATCCCCAATATATATATATATATGTGTGTGTGTGTGTCTGTGCGTTTGTTTCAAAACTATACACCACTTATATACTAATCATGCTACCATTTTGCTAGTTAAATCCCATGGTTTGGCTATATGCTGCGCTAATTCCAATTATTTTTTGGTTCTAACCTCACTATCGAAAATTACATACAGACCCCGGGGCTTGCCCAAACCCCGAATACCAGTTACATTATATTATCAGACTTGTTTTGCGCGTGGAACAATGCAGTAACGCTAGCAGGATTTTCATGAGGTTAGGGTTTAGGGTTTAGGGTTAACCATGATAATAATCACCATCACCATCATCAGCATTGTCCAGGTGCTCATTGAAGAAGAATCAAAAGTACCCACCTCCGTGGAACAATACAATAACGCTATTACAGTGTTATGAGGTTTAGGGTTTAAGGTTTAAGCTTGAACATTATCGTCATCACCATCATCATCACCATCACTGTCGTCATCAGCATAGTCCAGACGCTCATTGAGAGTCTGGGCAAACCGCAGGCTCTTGCCGTAATATTACTGTCATATTCCTGCTAAAATGTCAATAAAATGGATAGTGAATATGCTATGTATTTGTGATATATATGTATATACTCTATGATTATCGGGAATTATGGTGGTGAAATATGGCGAAATCACATCTTGTATTATATCCCCATGATTTCCGCATTATTTCCCTATATATATATATATAGAAAATCAATATGGTATATATCCCCAACATCATATACCAAATACCATCATATACCAAATACCACAATATTGGGGATATTACCTATATGATTTCAGAATACCCTCTGGTAAACTAACATAACTATGGGAAATCACCATTTTCAATGGGTAAATCCATTATTTCTATGGTCATTTTCAATAGCTATTTTGACATAACCAGAGGGTATCATATACCAAATATTGACACTCTCAGACACCAAAGCCATGTTTTGATGTCCATATCTCGACGCTCCCCATGATTTCACCATCGGCCAGATCGGCCAGTGCCCTGTTCCAGGAAACCACTGGCTATGTCCACAGTTGTTTTAATGTTCACCGGGTAAGCATTGCTACCCAAATGATTTCCCCCTTTCCCCATGCAACTCATTTGTGGTGGTTTTAAAACTAGGTGATATCAGAACTCTATGTATGTGTATATATATATACGTGTGATATCTTCGTATAATATGTATATATCACATCTTATTTCCCATATAAGTTAAATATCTTGTATATCTAGGAAATAACATGTTTCCACTGAACTTCAGATATCATCGAAGGAAGTTTAGCTCACAAGCTTCCGACTTACGGAAGAATCTCCATAGTCAGCTTGTTATCAGCTCAACCACAGTGGCAGCAACAGCAGTTCACCAGGTGGGAACGGTACATCACAGTGACATTTCATCCGCGTGATGAAGCCATGGAAGCGCACGAGTCCCTGCATTTTTACAGGTATGGTTCCAGGGGTTGCTACGGTAGGGTCTGTGTTCACAGCATGAGTGATGTTGTCATTCTCCTGCTATGCGGGATTGCAGCTGGAGAGTGCAAAACGCCTTGTAACAGCTGCGAGAAAGGTAGTTTTTGAACATGGTGTCATTGTTGTGCTATGCAGGATTGCAGCTGGAGAGTGCAAAACGCCTTGTAACAGCTGCGAGAAAGGTAGTTTTTGAACATGGTGTCATTGTTGTGCTATGCAGGATTGCAGCTGGAGAGTGCAAAACGCCTTGTAACAGCTGCGAGAAAGGTAGTTTTTGAACATGGTGTCATTGTTGTGCTATGCAGGATTGCAGCTGGAGAGTGCAAAACGCCTTGTAACAGCTGCGAGAAAGGTAGTTTTTGAACATGGTGTCATTGTTGTGCTATGCAGGATTGCAGCTGGAGAGTGCAAAACGCCTTGTAACAGCTGCGAGAAAGGTAGTTTTTGAACATGGTGTCGTTGTTGTGCTATGCAGGATTGCAGCTGGAGAGTGCAAAACGCCTTGTAACAGCTGCGAGAAAGGTAGTTTTTGAACATGGTGTCATTGTTGTGCTATGCAGGATTGCAGCTTGCAGCTGGAGAGTGCAAAACGCCTTGTAACAGCTGCGAGAAAGGTAGTTTTTGAACATGGTGTCATTGTTGTGCTATGCAGGATTGCAGCTGGAGAGTGCAAAACGCCTTGTAACAGCTGCGAGAAAGGTAGTTTTTGAACATGGTGTCATTGTTGTGCTTATTGCAGGATTGAGCTGAGAGTGCACAAAAGCTTGTAACAGCTGCGAGAAAGGTAGTTTTTGAACATGGTGTCATTGTTGTGCTGCAGATTGAGGATTTGCAGCTGGAGAGTGCAAAACGCCTTGTAACAGCTGCGAGAAAGGTAGTTTTTGAACATGGTGTCGCTTGTTGTGCTATAGCATGGATGCAGGATTGCAGCTGGAGAGTGCAAAACGCCTTGTAACAGCTGCGAGAAAGGTAGTTTTTGAACATGGTGTCATTGTTGTGCTATGCAGGATTGCAGCTGGAGAGTGCAAAACGCCTTGTAACAGCTGCGAGAAAGGTAGTTTTTGAACATGGTGTCATTGTTGTGCTATGCAGGATTGCAGCTGGAGAGTGCAAAACGCCTTGTAACAGCTGCGAGAAAGGTAGTTTTTGAACATGGTGTCATTGTTGTGCTATGCAGGATTGCAGCTGGAGAGTGCAAAACGCCTTGTAACAGCTGCGAGAAAGGTAGTTTTTGAACATGGTGTCATTGTTGTGCTATGCAGGATTGCAGCTGGAGAGTGCAAAACGCCTTGTAACAGCTGCGAGAAAGGTAGTTTTTGAACATGGTGTCATTGTTGTGCTATGCAGGATTGCAGCTGGAGAGTGCAAAACGCCTTGTAACAGCTGCGAGAAAGGTAGTTTTTGAACATGGTGTCATTGTTGTGCTATGCAGGATTGCAGCTGGAGAGTGCAAAACGCCTTGTAACAGCTGCGAGAAAGGTAGTTTTTGAACATGGTGTCATTGTTGTGCTATGCAGGATTGCAGCTGGAGAGTGCAAAACGCCTTGTAACAGCTGCGAGAAAGGTAGTTTTTGAACATGGTGTCATTGTTGTGCTATGCAGGATTGCAGCTGGAGAGTGCAAAACGCCTTGTAACAGCTGCGAGAAAGGTAGTTTTTGAACATGGTGTCATTGTTGTGCTATGCAGGATTGCAGCTGGAGAGTGCAAAACGCCTTGTAACAGCTGCGAGAAAGGTAGTTTTTGAACATGGCGTCATTGTTGTGCTATGCAGGATTGCAGCTGGAGAGTGCAAAACGCCTTGTAACAGCTGCGAGAAAGGTAGTTTTTGAACATGGTGTCATTGTTGTGCTATGCAGGATTGCAGCTGGAGAGTGCAAAACGCCTTGTAACAGCTGCGAGAAAGGTAGTTTTTGAACATGGCGTCATTGTTGTGCTATGCAGGATTGCAGCTGGAGAGTGCAAAACGCCTTGTAATGGCCGCGCGAAGAGAAGAATTGTGGTACAAAAGCTAAGAAGTAGCTCTGAGAAAAAATAGCTGAGGGTGATAGCTCAGAGCAGGAGCGGGGAAAAGAAAAAGTACCGGAGATAAGAAGCAGCTCAGTGAAGAAGTAGCCCAGTGAGCTTAGAGAAGACTTGGCTTGGGGAATGGGTAGCTCAAGGAAGAAGTCTATCATTCGTTCGTTCATTCGTTCCTTCTGTCCTTGAATCATTCATTGGTTCTTTCGTTCATTCACTCATTCATTGATTCATTGATTGAATAAGGAGCTCGTTGTTTCATTCATTTGTCCGTTACTCTAATTTATTCATCCATTGATTCGCTCATTCGTTGACTCACTCATTCATCAGCGGCGCATTGATCGATTCATGGGTTGATTCATTCATTCGTTCGTTCGTTCATTCATTCCTTCATTCATTCACTCAGCGGGCCAATGCCCCACCCCTGCAGTTAAGGGGATGAGCTAGGGTGTGGTCCGTAAAAACACTCACTCATTCACTCACTCAGCCATTCGTGCACTGAATCTTTCATGTCATTGATTTCAAATCATTTCGGTGGCATCTCAACAGTGATTTGCTCATTCGTTGGTTCACCTCACAACCTCAATCTGTCATTGCTTCTGCATCTCTTAGACATTCTTATAAGCCATTGATTTCTGATGGCCATTGCACTTTTTTCGAAACTTCCACCCCGGCACGGCCGGGCACTACTTGCATCTTATTTGCCACGATATCCCCAGATATTTCCCCATATCTGTCTGACTTGTAATAATTCACCAGCCTGAAAATAGCTATTTCCTTGAAGAAAGGGAGCACCACCCCGGGCCGCAGCCTAAGGCAGCACTCAACGCGAGCGAAGTCCCAAATGTCCCAAAAGCAACTAGCTACAAAGGAGCCGTTTGGCTCTGACCCTTTTCATGGCCAGCTTTGCCTTATCGACTCTAAACTGCCAAGTTCCCTTTGCCACTTCCTCCTGTCTCCGAACACAGTCGACACTCGGAGTTGCCGAAAGTCCATCAGTTTGCCCGCAGCTCACTGACTTCTGAAGAATGTCAACCACTTCAGATTGAAAAGGAAATGACGGCCGTTTATTGATCCCTTGATGAAAGCGATGTGCACCAAGTCTGTAGATTGCACTGACTTTCTGTCTCAGCCTGAAAATAGCTGCTATCATGTTGGGACATTTGGGGATGGTTCCCCGAATCCAATTCCTACTGTATCATTCCAGAATTCCGTCATGACGTGAAGTCACAATATAATTCAATCAGACCAGAACCCAGTGTTTAGATATATATATATACAAATATACATATATTCAATTAAATCCTCATTATATCCCCATTATACCAGCATTCTTGTTAGTCATATCCTGAAAATCTGATGCTTAAGTCACCATATGTGCTGGTTCGCCATTGTTCGTTAGATCCGCCATCTTTGCTACATGTATCCACTATATCCCATTATATCACCATCATCTTCCCATGATATCTGCAGAGACGTCCCGGTTTTTCCCAGGTTTTTCCCATCATTTCACAGCAAGGTGCCACAGCTCAGTGGTTCCAACTTGCTGAGCGTTGAGCGCAAGCGTTCTGTCAGCAAGACCTCCGCCACCAATTCGTCCACGTCCAGTACGAAGGCGAGTGCCTCGCGAGGTTCATCCACATGTAAATCATAGCGGTCATTATTGTTACCCTCTGGTAAACATACAAAAAGCTATGGAAAATGGCCCATTTATAGTAAGTTTCCCATGAAAATGGTGAATTTCCAGAGTTTTTTGTATGCTTATCAGAGGGTACAAGGTCGTGCCCCATAGTCAGCTAACTTGGTAAACATAACTTGAATAAGGGTTTATGATACATATATCTAGAGTTCATGGGGGTTATACACCAACTTACAAGTGGGGGGCACCACCTTGTATTTATTGTTGGGATATATCATTGCTATCATAGTCTTATCATATTACAATAGTGTTATCACGTTGTTATCATACTGATATCTAATATCTATGTGTTTCTATGTGTATATGTATACATATAGTACTTATCATGATTATGAATTTTATTATCATTATGATATGTGTTGTTATTTGTTGTTTATCAGATTGGAATATCATTGGGATATACGAAAATTTATTATAGTTAGATTGTTAGACTATTTATTCGTATCAAACGGATTATTAGTATACATTATTGCTATGATTCTTATTTCTACTATTTCTATTAGCATTCTCATTGCTATTATTTATTCTGATCATTGTGTATTGTGATGATTATGATGCTTATTAGTATTAAATTAATATATATATATATATACATTAATATTAATATTATTGTTGATTGGCATATAACATAACTTTTCAGAATGGAATATCATTGGGATATATCCAAGTATATGAGTGGGTCTCCAAGATTATATTCTGATGCTAATTCAGCACTCGAATAATGAAGATAATTTATTCTGATGATAGATACCCATATACATGTACATAGAGAGATGCGTCTAGAGGGTCCAAGGCTCACTTAGGCCGACTTTTTGGATCACTTAAGCCGACATTTTTTATGTTGACTTCAGGGTTAACGCCATGGGGTACAGACCTTTAGGTTAACACTTGGGGACACTTGGGGTGGGTTTAGGGGACACTTGGGGAGACTTGGGGACACTTGGGGTGGGTTTAGGGGACACTTGGGGACACTTGGGGTGGGACAAGGGGTGGGTTTGGGGAACCAACTCCATGGGATACAGACCTTTAAGTTAACACTTGGGGACACTTGGGATGAGTTAGGGTACACTTGGGGACACCGGGCTGGGACATGAGGTGGGTGTAGGGGACCAAAAGCAAACCTGTTTATACTTAGGCAAATAATCCATCAGACAAATTCCCGCTAATTCTTGGATAATGTCTGCTCATTTAATTTATTCAAACTAACAACCCGTACCGAACTTCTGCGTTGTCCGCGTTGTGGTCGTTGAGCACGCTTTGTGTTTGGCCATAACATTACATTCAAGTAGCTGGCCACATGTTCCTGATACGTTGTAAACTCTTCTTCAAGTAACTTGCCAGATGTTCCTGATACGTTGTAACATCTTCTTCTAGTGACTTGCAACACGTTCCTGATACGCTGTGAAATGTTCAGCAAGTAACTTGCAAGACGTTCCTGGCACGTTGTCACATCTTCTTCAAGAAACTTGAAAGATGTTCCTTATATGATATATGTTGTAACATCTTCGTCAAGTAACATGCAAGGCGTTCCTGATACGTTGAAACATCATTCTCAAGTAACTTGCAACATGTCCCTGTTCTTGTAACATCTTCTTCATGTAACTTGCAACACGCTCCTGATGCGTCGTAAAATCTTCTGCAAGTAACTTGCAAGACGTTCCAGACACGTTGTCACATCTTCTTCAAGTAACTTGAATTATGTTCCTGAAATATGTTGTAACATCTTTGTCAAGTAACATGCAAGACGTTCCTGATACTTGCAACATCTTCCTACTTGTCATTAACTTGCACGACCTTCCTGATACGTTGTAAACTTTTCTTGAAGTAACTTGAAAGATGTTCCTTATATGTTGTAACATCTTCGCCAAATAACATGCAAGACGTTCCTGATATTTGCAACATCTTCTTACTTGTAAGTAACTTGCACGATCTTCCTGATACGTTGTAAACTGTGCTTCAAGTAACTTGCCAGATGCTCCTGATACGTTGTACCATCTCATCTTCTTCAAGTGACTTGCAACACGTTCATGATACGTTGTGAAATCTTCTGCAAGTAACTTGCAAGACGTTCCTGGCAAGTTGTCACATCTTCTTCAAGAAACTTGAATTATGTTCCTGAAATATGTTGTAACATCTTTGTCAAGTAACATGCAAGACGTTCCTGATACTTGCAACATCTTCCTACTTGTCATTAACTTGCACGACCTTCCTGATACGTTGTAAACTTTTCTTCACGTAACTTGAAAGATGTTCCTTATATGTTGTAACATCTTCGCCAAGTAACATGCAAGACGTTCCTGATACTTGCAACATCTTCTTACTTGTAAGTAACTTGCACGACCTTCCTGATAAGTTGTAAACTGTGCTTCAAGTAACTTGCCAGATGCTCCTGATACGTTGTACCATCTCATCTTCTTCAAGTGACTTGCAACATGTTCATGATACGTTGTGAAATCTTCTGCAAGTAACTTGCAAGACGTTCCTGGCAAGCTGTCACATCTTCTTCAAGAAACTTGAATTATGTTCCTGAAATATGTTGTAACATCTTCGTCCAGTAACATGCAAGACGTTCCTAATACGTTGCATTATATTCCTCAAGTAACTTGCAAACTGTTCCCGATACGTTCTCAACTCTCCGTCAAGGCAGTTGAAATACAGTCGTGATACGTTGTAACATCTTCTTATTCATATGATTGAATGAAAATGTCCTGATGATCATCTCTGTCACACATGTACAAGCCTGTTGGAGTCATGTTCAAATACATCTATATATATTTCTATTGATATTGTAGTCATATATCACAAACGTAGGCCTAAGCGAGCCAAAACGTAGGCCTAAGCGAGGGACTGACCGTATAGAGAGGGGGGAGAGAGAGAGAGAGAGATATATATATATATATGTATGTAGAGACACATAGCGACATATAGATAGATGGGTAGGGAGGTAGATAGGTGGATATACGTGCACGTAGACGATATTTGTGTATATTGATTGGTGGGTTCAACCAATCTGAAAAATATTAGTCGGAGGGGCGTCATCTTCCCAAGTATGGTTGAAAAATAAAGGAAAAATAAAACATAGAAATAAAACCGCATGCCAGAAAATATCACTAAAGCCAATGGTTAATCATCATTATCCCTGCTAAATAACCATAATAGGAGGTATACCCTCTGGTAAACAAACATAGCTTTTGAACATGGTGATTTGAATCGTGGATTTACCCAGCTATAAAATGGTGATTTTCCATAGCAAAATGTAACAGTTCACCAGAGGGTAGCCCACCTTCAAACACAGAAAAATATCCCGAGCCGTGGCTTGTTGTGTGGCTTGTTGTGGCCCGAGTTGCCACAGCGTTCAAGACAATGTCTCCCAAGCCGTCCGTCCACGCCAAGTATTGACATCCAATGACCTGAAATCAGGGAGATGTTGAGATTTGGACAATGGGATAATATCTGGGAATATATACCCTCTGGTAAACTAACATAGCTATTGAAAATTGCCATTTATAGTTGATTTACCCATATAAAATGGTGATTTTCCATAGTTATGTTACAGTAGTTTACCAGGGGGTGTGTATGTGTATATATATATATGTACCAAGTGATATCATGTGAATATATCCCAAAAACTCATAGATACCAGGATATATCCATGATATATCAGTGATATCCGACTTGGAATACGATATCATATATAATCTGTATCCAACATTACATCTATTTCCCATACATAATATTCCAGTCATGGTATATCAACATATTAATGGTATAACTCTAGTATCTGGTTGGTGGTATACCTACCCCTCTGAAAAATATGAGTTCGTCAGTTGGGATGATGACATTCCCAATATATGGAAAAGTAAAAAATTATCCAAACCACCAACCAGTGTATATATATAATATCTGGGGAAAATCTGGAAAACCATTTAAAAATTGCATTTGGGTATAATGATGATCATATCTTATATGTCGTATTGTGATGTATGGAGAAATGGGGGTGTATCCTCATTCGGAAAGTTAAATTTGGAAAAATGAATTTAACTAACTAGCTGAATCGTAACATGATAGGTACATAATTGGTATACAACGGTCGAGTCATAGTTGGGAAAGTTGATATATATATATATTATATAATAATAACACTTATCATTATTAATAGTAAAAATATAGAAGACGGAAAGGCATTCGATGAATGATAAGAAATGCCGAGGACAAAAGTCACAGCAATTCGATAAAATCTACTGAACAAGAGGAGCACCGAAAGATTCGGTAAGAGGCTCTGAAGGCTGGAATCGTGTGCACGAATTAGGTCAGCCTGGGACAAGAATTTGATAATCTCTTGCAAAAAAAGGTAGAAGTTTGATCCATGGACGTGACTTCCAGGACCTTTCATGGCAGCTAGAGCCGGTTTCTTCAGCAGATGACGCCACATGTTTTTAATCAGTCTTGGATCACAAGCGGCCGCAGCCATGATCATCCTGGAATTCTTGAAGTGGAGTTGTTCAAGAAACAAAAAATTACTGGATGATCATTCCATGGCGAATGAAGTATGTTTTTGTAATCAAGCAATTGAAGTAGTTCTTTTCCATGGCGTTTTTTTCCATCTCCAAAAAACAGAACCAGCTGGTTGTCCCGGCGTCCCGACTCGATCCCAGGCACACCCAGGAAAAACATCACGCCCAGGCGAAACAAGCTCAAGCAAATCCTCGGGAGGAAAATCTCTTGGGACTGAGCAGCAATGACCACTGCTAGGATGAAGCTTCAGCTATTTTCAGCTATACTAGACTAGCATCAACTAGCATCAACTAGCATCAACTAGCATCAACTGGCTACTTAGATGGCTTCAAAGCATGGCACTTCCAATTTTCTGCCGAGATTCAGCATCATGACCTTCTTGACTGGGTGGATCCCCACAATGACCATGGACTCCTCCCCATCCTCCTCAATTTCCGGTCCATTCCTCACTATTGGAAGATGGATCACAGCCATGGCTTGCTCGATACAACGCCGGTACTCGCGCATGATGGTCAAAACCTGCGGTTTTGTCCCAGCAAAAAAAGCCGGGATTGGCATGTGGAAAATGGCTCACCACTGTTTCTAAAAATTGCGATGAAAATGGAAGCGGCCCCAGTTGTATCTACAGTATGCGGACTATTGGACAGTGATGCGAAGTGGGGCAGGCGGCTGGGCACCAAATTCATCCAAGAAGCCCAGATGATGATGGCAAGGGTGCTCAAGACGAAGCCTGGCGCGAAGAATTGGTAATTGATGTGGCATTTCAGGGGTACCGAGGTCCCAGGCCTGGCACTGGCTTGTAGAGGTAATCATACCTTAGGGCGGCAGTTTTTAGGGAGCTTTCCATTGGCCTTCATGTTGCACCCCTCACTTTGATCTTCCAAGGGGCATCAGTTGATATTCCTCTTGTTCAAAGGACCACAAATCCAGGCCGCACAATTTTTGCAGCAGGCTTTGGCCTTTCCCTGTGTCAAAGTTTGCCGAGGCATGGCCTGCACGATTCGCCGTTGATTTCCGTGCGAGAAAGGCCATCCTATTACTGTGTAACACACTGTGTAACCTTAAATAGTAAACCATGCCCAGGTTTTGCCAGAAATGCTTGGGATTGAAAGTATCCCCAATCAAAGGTTTATGGCAGTTATGGATTTTAAATTTGGAAGTATCCCCAATGGATTTTCTACGCAAGTTTTCGAGACATGCCCATGGATTTCAACCGTGAAGCCCACCGAACGGCAAGACCTGGGCCATGGCACTGGAAAAAGCCCCACAATATCATGGTTTAAAGCTGGACAACGTACAAAGAATATTATAGTATGTACATATATACATATGTATATGTATATATGTATGTATATACATATGTACGTATATATATATATATATATATACCATATGATAACCCATGACGCATACACACGTACACACACATACACACGCACGCACATATACACGTACACACATACACACAGATACACATCAGATACACACAGATACACAGAGATACACACAGATACACCACACACAAATACAGTACACACAAATACAGCACACACACACACATACACACACACATACACACATACACACATACACACATACACACATACACACATACACACATACACACATACATACATACATACATACATTACATTACATTACATTACATTACATTGCATTGCATTGCATTACATTACATTACTCACATTACATTACCTTACCTTACCTTACATTACATTACATACATACATACATTACATACCATTACATTACATTCCATACCATTAGATTACATTCCATACCATTACATTACATTACATTGCATTACACTGCATTACATTGCATTGCATTACATTACGTTACAGTACATTACATTACATTACAATACATTAATACGTATTTACATACATTACATTACATTACATTACACTACATTACATTGCACTACATTACATTACATTACATTACAATACATTAATACGTACATACATACGTACATACATACGTACATACATACATACTTACTTACTTTACATTACATTACATTACATTAAATTACATTACATTACATTCATTACATACATGGCATACATGGCATACATGGCATACATGGCATACATGGCATACATTGCATACATTGCATACATTGCATACGTTGCCTACATTACATACATTACATACATTACATATATTACATACATTACATTCATTACATTCAGTACATACAGTACATACAGTACATACAGTACATACAGAACATACAGTACATACAGTTCATACAGTACATACATTACATACAGTACATACAGTACATACATTGATACCATTACATACCATTACATACCATTACATACCATTACATACCATTACATACCATTACATACCATTACATACCACTACATACCATTACATACCATTACATACCATACCATTACATTGCATTACATATATACATACATACATACATTACCTTACCTTACCTTACCTTACCTTACCTTACATCACATTGCATTACATTACATACAGTAGCCATTATTATCCCATGATAATCCCAATTTCAATTCGATTTCTGTGGTATGCATGCATTCTCTGACCCTCTGATGGTGGCGTTTTTCCTCTTGAACTCTTCACCTGTGCACCCATTTTGTACAAACAGCTTTTCTTTTCACTTGGGAATGGCTTCTGAATGTAATCATGTATGGGACCTTTTGTTGTGTTCGGAGCCGGTGCACGCGACTGAATGTTTGATGGTAAAGTCTAAATTTCTGTCATGTTCTTTGGTGAAAACCCAATATCTGGTTGGTCGAATACGCCTTTAGTGGTTACCCTCTGGTTATGTCAAAATAGCTATTGAAAATGACCATAGAAATAGTGGATTTTCCCATTGAAAATGGTGATTTTCCAGGGTTATGTAACAATTTACCAGAGGGTAAATCCCAATTTCTGGTTGGTGAAATCGGGCCAGGACCGCAGCTTCTGCGCCTATTTCCACTCGGTATTGCAGCATTTCCTTCACCTCGGCAGCTGGCATGTAATATGTAATGATGAATATATATATATATAGTATATATTATATAATATTATATATATATATGTAAATTCTGATAATTCACTGACTTTGTTCAAGTTCGGCTATGTTGGGAGACTTTCCCAAATGTGTATATATATATAGTGTATATATATATATATGGTGTATATATATAGTATATATATATTATAGTTGTACATATATGTATATATATATATATTATAGTTGTACATATATATATATATAGTAGATATGACGTCGGCCACAGCTACCCCAAAAACTCACCGGATTTCACCTTTTTTTGCGAAGCGTTTTGGGGCCGCACCTTGGCACCTTCGTACTTGTTCTCGATCATGTCCATGAAGATGGTCAGCAACAAGGCAATCTGCAAGCCAAAGTTCCTGGGGAAAGCATGGGAACAGATGGGAATAGTAGGATGGTTTGCAGTTTATGGCGACTATGGATTCATCTTCATTCGTTGGTCATTCGTTTGTCATCCCACAATGAAACTTAGAAACTGCTGATCAAATGTTAGTTACCCACAATTCGTACACTAAGAGTACACTTTTCCATGGAAATGGCCACGGAATTTTCGAGTCGGCGAGTCATCGAAGCAAAATTTTCCATAGCTCATGAGAGAATCAGCACAGGGAGAAGCTGAGTCACCGTTAATATGGTGTACGGTCATCCCACCATAGGAATTCATAATGGATGGGTGTGAAATCCCTAAAAAAGTGTTGATGATCTTCCGTCGTGGGTTAATCTAATTACCATGGGCCTCCATCTTTTGACCAAGGCAGATTTGAAAGCTTCAGATTTCGAGAGGCTTAAAACCGGGGAATATGAAAGTTATGGGGCACTCGAAAAAAGCTGGATGCTCACTCCTCGCTTTGAATCTAAGGCAAAAAAAAATGCGGTTTTCCAAGCTTGAAATCTTGACCACTTGAGTAATCAAATGGTCAAGATGATTGTTGGAACATCCCTGCAAACAAACAGGATACCACACGTCGACATGTCAAAAAATCACCCCGCAATATAAAAATTTGCCATCGCGGCACGTCGTTTTGGCACGTCGGTGGGCGCACTTACGTCGTTATTGGCATGGCGACGCGCACACTTACGTCGGATTGGCATGTCGACGAGCACACTTACTATTTTACTATTTACTATTCTTCCTGGCCAACCTACTTTTTGGCATCGCGGGGCGTCGTTTTAGCATGTCGACAGGCACACTTACGTCGTTTTGGTATGTCGACTGGCACACTTACTATTTTACAATTTACTATTTTTCCTTTCCAACCTACTTTTTGGCATCGCGGGGCGTCGTTTTGGCATGTCGACGGACACTCTTTTGGCATGTTGACGGAGACAATCTTGTTCGGCATGTCGACGGGAACAACCTTTTTGGCATGTTGACGCGTCGTATCCTGGATGATCAAGGATCATTGTCTGTCCAAGTACAACAAGGTTCTTCAAAGGTTCAATAGTCTCTACTCGAAGCCCCCTTTTTTTCGGAAGGTTCTGCTGAGGTCAAAGCAAATTGGCGGTACCTGCAAAAGTGTGAAAGAGGCTCCCAACTGTTGATGAGAAATGGCACCATGAAAAAAAAATACAACAAAATTGCCAATAGTGGATGGGGGTATCCGAAAGTGAACACATATTAAAAGCGCCAATGTTCAATTCATATTAATCAAAAACCCAGAAAAATGGCCTCAACATTGACCCAGCTTCAACGTACAGCCTGTGAGCAGGATGACCATGTCTGCAAAATTGGAACGGCTCACGAACACCTAGGCGACTGGGGAGGCCAAGAAGCAACCTGCCAAAAACGTAAAACGCAACGTAACCTGGTAGTCCACATGAAGTTCTTGATAAGATTCATATGGATTAATATAGACTAGTACGGATTATATCATATGGATTAATAAGGACTAATATGGATGGATATGGATTGATGGTCATTATTTTGTCATTCCACATTGAATCTTAGGAACTGATACTGATCAAATCTGATCAGATGGTTTTCATCCAAGCCACGTGCAAAACTTGGGTAGCATGGCAGAGGTGTGTTTTACATGCATTGCTACATCACCAAAATCCCAAGGTAACCCTTGGATGGTCCAAGACTCCAAGGGTTACCTTACCAAGCCCCGCCAAGGCACCAACAACGCGGCGTCCCACATGGAATGTTCAAATTCGTAGGTCGCGGTGTCCACGGGGGTTCTACCCATGCTTGCCCTGTTGGTATTGTTGCCATCGGTCGGGCTCACGTCCTGGGATACATCGGTGTCCAACTAAACTGTGCTCCAGAATCCATCTGATGATCATCCTTTCGCCTATTAAAATGACCATAAAAGGATATACAGCATTTTAACACACACACCCAAGAATTTCTTTGCTGGTTTATCTCCCCATCATGTCCCCTTTTTTCTGTGCCTTAAGTGATGTTTACCAATTCTACACCCATCATGGCTTTCCCAACGATGAAATCAGCACGGATCCATTCGGTTCAACGTGCGTGACCGACGTGACGGTGCTTGTCGATTCTCCAGATTTATCCCCGTAAATTGGTAAGTATATCACTGTACTGTATATCAATTGGTCACATCCCCCTCTTTGACAATTATACTTGGATGTGCATCCCAGATAGGATCCGTGGTTTATCACATATATAGGCCACTAATCTAAGCCAGAACCCATTCTAACTTAGCTAATGCTGCTAGTTAGCAATGTTATAAACTGCCCATATGTTGATGGCCTTTCTCCCACCTATGGCAAAATTGGGGTTTGCCATTGCTTTACTGACAATATTTCATATGAGCAAATAGTGTTAGTGCATAATATTTGATATTTCACTATAGTAATATCAGTGGATAATGGCTCAGCTCATCTGCGTATCCACTAACAGTATATTGCTTTACTAACAATATATGCTACACAACCACCTCAGTATGCTGAAAAAGTCCACTGAACTGAGCCAGTCCCACCCCCATCCTTTTCACCGGCTCCTCCACAGCCACGATCTGGGCTTCTTTGGCACCGCCACCCATGGCCATACCGCTGAGACGCCGTTCCTCAGTGGATTTCACCAAGAAAAATGAACACCTGGATCTTACCACCGAAGATTTCTGGATTTCAGCATCAAAGTAGGTTCAAGAGGACCCAAACTGGTGTATAACTTAAACATAAGTGGTGAATGGGCCCTGCTCACCATGACCTGGCATTGTGATGATCCTTTGGCCTGGCCATCCACTGTACATCATGTTCTGACCTAAACATTGCTATTTAAGGGTGGACATCCCTTCAAAAAGACACGCTGATCTATATCCCCATTATATCCGATCAGAATGCATACATATGTCTAAATAAATATTATATTATATTATATTAAATTATATTATATTATATTATATTAAATTATATTATATTAAATTATATTATATTATATATTACATTATATTATATTATATTATGTTATATTATGTTATATTATGTTATATTATCTTATATTATGTTATATTATATTATATTGTATTATATTATGTTATATTATGTTATATTATATTATATTGTATTATATTATGTTATATTATGTTATGTTATATTATATTGTATTGTATTATATTATGCTATATTATGTTATATTATATTATATTATATTGTATTGTATTATATTATATCATATTATATTATATTATATATATTATGTATATATATATTATATGTATTATTTATATATATATATATATTATATTACATATACATTTTATAGTATATCATATATATATATATGTATTATATTATGTAACTATGTATATTATATAATATTTATTATATATATATATACATTATATCATATATATATATATATCATATATATATATCCACAATATCACCATATTGATATTATATACCGTATATCACCATCATTAGATACCAAATCCCATTGACCATGATTTCCCCACAAAAGTGTTCCCCTCATTTCCCATAGTTTCAATAAGTTCTACCATGGTTTCCCATTCCTTCCAGAGATTTTACCTATGATTTCCAGCATTTTTTCCCATGTTTTCCATCGATTTTCCCATCCTTTTCCCATCCTTTCCCAAGCTTCAAGGTCTTGAAGGCGTCGTTCCTGCTCCGCGAGTTGCCGTGCTTGGGACTCCACCTTCGCAGCCACGTCCAAATCGGTGGGAACCTGAGCTTGGGAAAACCTGGGTTTTCAGCTGTTTTTTCCACTGATTTTTTCACGAAGGATGTAAGAAACGATGTGGGGAGCTCGAAGGACTTTTTCACCACCTGATTTTTGTTGGCCATTTTTGAAGAACAGTGACCCTTGTATTCACCATCATTCCAAGGTCGCGACGTGAGGTCGTGATGAAATTTACATAAATTTACTGTACCCAGGTGGAATACATGGAATATGGTTATCTGAATGGTAAATGACAAAGAGAGTTGGACCACACTTCTTTATTCAGGATATAACCATCATTAACCATCTATAAGCTCCGTAAATGGTGGATGTTTCAGCTATGTTTGATGACCAGAGGGTAGTTCTGGAATTGGTAGCGCTAAATGTGAATGATATGAATATGGGAGATGTGATGTGATGTGAGGTGATATAATGTGGTATCATGTTATAATCTGATGTTAGGTGATGTCGAAATGCGATGTTCATGTGACACGTGATTTTGATGTGATGTTTATTGTGATTCAATGTACACCACAATCTCGTAATGTGAGGTAAGGTACTCTGGTACTCCTGCTTTTTTGCATGACATGTCCCTTATGTTTTGCACTGCAACATGTGAGCAATTGAAAATACCCCTATTAACTATTATTCATTCATCATATTATTAATCATAGTATCGTAAAAATTGTATTACATGTCTAACCGTCATTTACCCATGCACAAACGCTGTAGCTTGGTGGCATCCGGGTTGGCCAGGTTGGCCATATTCATCATGTTGTTGTCGTCATCGCCATCCATTGCAGGCATCGGCATGGTGGCCTAGCGGGGCAAACTAACATAGCGGACTGGGAAATCACCATGTCTAATCGGTAAATCAACTAGCCAGATGGGCAATAAGGGTTCAGAATAGTTTTTGTGTTTTTTTTTGCTTTCTTTCTTGGTACCATTTGCCTTGTATTTGCAACAGTTTGGAACTAGAATCTGTCATTTTGCATGGTATTTGCTACATTTTGGCATGGTTACTGTGAACAAATGAATCCTTGTTCTGGATACCGTTTAGTTGGAAGTACCTGCAATGCTGGTTGTAGTCGTGACCCTTCAAAGCATGAAGCACGGCACGCGATTGTTTTCCTTGCAATGGGCGCTTGAGCCATCATGGCATCCCATGCACTTGCTATTTACATGACGCATATGAATTGTGCGCTAAGACTGTGTTCCCTTTGACACCCCCCATGTCCATGGTATCCTTCGGACCACGGACACGAGAGAGGGAACTTTGAATTAGAATGATTCTGCTACCCGAATTACGCCTATTTACATAAAACATGCCATTCGGCTCCCCCTTTCCCACATACCCGACGGGAATAATGGTTCAGGGTTCGCCTACTCTATGGCTGTCGATGCATCGGCGCTTCATCAAGCTGTACAACGCGAATTATTGTTAGCTAACATCTACTTTTCTACGTTGGCTAAGCTTGCCACTCACCCGTCGGGAGAAATGGATCGCTTCGCCACCAAAGATTTACGATGCTAACTAACGAATTCACGTGCACTGTGCAGAATTTCGTGCAGATTGGGAATATCAAAAGTCTTGAACCTAAGCGAATTAGCCTACTGCCTCGCTCAGAGTCCACTCAGTTGGTCTTTTCCTGATCATCTGTTCACTGCTCACGGCGGACTTTCTTCCATTGAGGTGCTGATGGAGATTTCTCCCATCCTGCCGCACGTTTCGGAGCAGCTGCAGGCGGTGCCTTTGAGGGTTCATGGGATTTCGGCATAGCTTTTGCCTTTGGTGCGCTTGCCGATGAGGATGATGCCGAATCAGCGCCCTCAGGTTTCTGTGAAGGTTGTGCTGACGACTTGGCTTTCGCGTCTGCGGTTGCAAACTTGGAAGCGGCAGTATGTCCGACTGCTTTGAATACTTCACTCACCACTTCGTCGCCAAGAGTTGGAGCCATCTTCGTTTTCATCTCGGTCTTCCCCCTCTGCGCCTCTGCTTCAGCCAGTTGAATAGCATAAGCCATCTTGCTGACAAAGTTTTGAGGTAACGGAATGCCACATTGTTGGGCTGCAAAGAGTAGTTCCACTCTCTGTTCCTTCTCTCTCAGACTCAGATATACCGAGAAAGCTGGGAGTTCAATGCAGTTGGGGAAGCCGTGGCTCCCGGAGCGAAAGAATGTGTATGATTCTTGTTCTGGAAAGGTTCCTTTCAGCAGTCGTCGAAGAAAATTGCTGATGGTCACTCGCATCTCCTGCTTCGCTTGGGCATCAGCCTGCATTCGGTTCATTGGCATGAGGAAACCTAATGATTCGGGAGTGTACCCGGCGCATACCAGAAATTCCATCATCTTTTCATAGATCTCCAAATTCTTGATGACAGGCATCATCATGTTTCTTGGTCGTCTTGAGTACATCTTCTCTCCCTCTGACCATGAGTTCCTTTTCCCTTTCTCCTGAAAGAGTTCATCCAATTCCAGCTCTGTCGGCCGCTTGAGGTTGCCATCCTGGTCTTCGCCGGTGTATGGGCAGAAGTCGTCCAGGTCCAGCCGGACTCGCTTGGTTTCCGTCATCATCTCATGGTACTCCTCTGGGGTCATAGTGACTCTCTGTTTATAGTAGTGCCTGAACATCGTGATGACCTTTGACATGACAGCATTGTCATACAAGTGAGCCGCGGCCTCGGAGGCATCATTGTTGATAAGTCCGTCTTCTGGCATACCCTTGCTGCCGCTCTCAAGATTCTTAGACCATGCTGGAAGTTTGGTAGAAGGCTCATCATCAGGTTCGACGTCCATTTCATCGTCGTCTTCTTCAACGATTTCGTCGTCTTCCTGTTGAGCTTCCTCCTCCTGATCCATTTCCTCATCATCGCCTTCATTGTAGTCGACCTCGTCAGGATTGAAGCCATAGTCGTTGGATTCAGATACGTTTTCTTGTGCTTGATTGACCGTATCCTTGAACAACGATTCTTCTTGTCGACGAACTTCTTCATCGAGCTCTTTCTTTGTGGCCTCATCTTCATCGTCTTCAGGAGCTTGTAGCCGATATGGACGAATTCCACAACTTTCAAGTTCCGTCCAGCAAACTAGACACACTGCTAGCTTTGTCGGCGTCTCATTGAGACAGTGAGGACAATGGCGGCAACCTGAAGTTTGCACCCTTTTGCGTTCGACTATATAGTCAATCAGCTTGATGCGGGCCAGGTATTGTTCTTGTCCGCCAGGCTCGATGAGGTTGTTCTTGAACTGGTTGACAATGTTCATGGCATCCATGGCGGTTTCGTCAAACGGTTGGTCTTCGGCGTCGATGCACTGACTTGCAACTCTCAGGATGGACTCCTTGGTGGCTACCGTTCTTGATTTGATAGTTCCAGACCGGACTACCTGGTCGTCGCCCGACGGGACGAACAACCGGAGCCATGTCTTGTTGTATTGGTCCTTGGGGTCCTGAATCCATCCTCCTTTGATTGCCGAGAACGGGATGATCCTTGGTGAAACGATCTGTCCCGAGTCAGTTAGTCGACCGCCATATTCCACCATCAAGGTCTCGGTCGGGATGAACAAGCAAATGTAGTCCCCTTTACGCGTATCAACGCTCTTCGTGATGGTCCATGATCTGTGATCCCATGGCACATACGGGTTGAAGAACGTGAACATCCGATGACCTTCTCCAAGACCTCCTGGAATTAATCCCTGCCTCCAAATGCTTCGGAGGTTGGTCTTCTTGGTGATGTGGAAACAGACCGGTAATGACAGAATGGTGTTGGGTGCGATTGGATGTGAAAGCAACGAGGACAGCAATGAAACGTCGTCTCTTGAAGATCCTTCTTTGTGCCCCGTAGGAGCACGGACCGCCACTGGGTAGAGCAGTAGACCTTCATCAGGGATGTGCGTGTCCGCATCGACATTGTTGTCAATGCACGTCAGGCTGCGGCGATCAATATCCTTGTCGATCCCAAAGCCAAGACTTGTTCACGCACTCGACGTCCGTACCGGGCACAGTGGAACATGATCTTGAAAAGCAATGTCATGCGAAAGTTCGCCTCATTGACATTCCATGCACTCTGATCATTTGCTCTTCCTTTTGGGGCAAGGAATACGTGTGGCCAGCGTGCATACTCGTGCCTCCAGATGGACTCACATTTGAGCACCTCCTCGATGGGCACCCAGCCGGCGTCATCACAGGGCAGACTCTGCTGCTCTGATACCTTCCCCACGTTGTGCCGTAGGATCCTGTTTAGTGAGGTACTCACCTTGTCCTCGTAGGTGTCGAGTCGGTTGCCAGTTTCGAAGCGGTAGTTGGCCGCATATTCTACACCGCCAAAGTAAGAGCAGTTGAAGAAATGGGCCCCTGTCGTTGGGATGATTTTCAAGAAACCATCTTGCGGCGCCTCGACTCGTTTGTAGAAGGTCTTCCTGATGTTGTTGTCAGAGTAGCTTGCCATGAAGTCTGGCACTGACCAAGTGTCGCCTCCTCCTCTGACAATAGCGTCTCGGATCACTTCGTTGAGGTCAACAACGTTCTGTGGTCCCAGCTTTGTAACATCACGTCCTTCGATGCAGAACCTACCATACTCATCGAGGTCACCAACTTCAGACATAGTTCTGATGCTGTCATACCATTGGTGTTCACTAAACCTCGGTTTTGTAGGTTCATCTGTTTGCCCCGACCCTTCAGTAGCACCTGAACCGTCCTTCTTGTGCTCAGGAGGCTCCATATCGACGTCATCAGATGTGGGACTATCAGCCTCGAGCGACGCTCGGACGGCCTTTAGCACCTTTCTGACTTCATCTCTCTTCTCATGTTCACATTCAAGATGGCCATGTTTGGTGCTACCACAATACAAGCACACGTTGACATCCTCAGAGACAGTGAAGAGTTTTCCCAACGCATCCAAAAGTTGTTGTTTCCCGGAAATCTCTGAGTCCCTGACCACATCAGTGGGATCGTTTGCTGGCTCATCAGCTTCCTCCTCCCCAGGGTGAGCCGACGACTCGTCACCTGGCTTGGCATCGGCATCAGCGCCCATGCTGGCATCATCCCCTGTGATGTTGTTCTTCCTGCGATAATGAGAGAATACCTGATCCTTCTCCCATTCCGTGAGGCAGCAGAAATTGGCCAGCGATTCATATCCGGGGATTGCGTGGATGATCTTCATGACCCTTTCGGCTTCTGCGGTTTGCAGTGTGCAGTCGAAGGATCCCCGTCTCTTGTCATTGATGGTGCTCGAGGTTCTGGATGTCGATGTGAATTGAGCCAATGCCTTTTCCAATCCATTGAGATACTCAGCTGGATCAACACTGGCATTGAAAACATCAACAACTCCTTTGGCCATATTGGCCACATCCAAGACACCAAGCCAGAACTCGATGATATCTCCAGTTTTCTCGGCAGATGCACGGGAGAATCCAAAGATCTCGTTCCTCTCCTTCACCTCGGGAACGGCGACCTTCTCGAAGAAGTCTTTGTATGCGACATTTCCGCAATCCTTTGTGACTCTGTAGATCAATAGCCACTTCTTCGCGACTTCATCAAAAACTCTTTCGCGATAGATGCTGAATTGCTTGCCGCGTCCGTTCCGGAAAATTTCCAGAGCTTGCCTCTTCGAAATTCTGACTCCTCCCATGTGAGATAGAGATTTCATCAAGTGCTCCCCATACGCCAACGATGCATTTGAGATCAACGAAGACGCAGTAAATGTGAGCCATGTTTGAAAGCCTTGATTGATGTCAACAATGTCAACACCAAGATCCTCGAATGCAACCTTCAGTCTGGCCGCAAGGAGTAGGACGGACTTCCTGGCCTCCAATGTTGGAGCT